CACTCACCTCAGCCTCCCAAAGCACAGGATTACAGGCTGAGCCACCGAGCCCGGCTCATACTTTTTTTCTCTTGCGATTTCATTGACATGTAATTTGTCACTTCAGTTATAAGATACTAAGATAAAACTAGTACAAATCATAGTGATCTGTGAAAAAAATAGTGGTATCTAAGAACAGAATATGTGAGTATTTCATTTTGCCATCAAAAGACTTACTTATATAGCAGTATGTCCTTTTGCCGTTGAGTGGTCATGCTTGAGTTGAGTTGTCAGATTATGGTCATGTGTTCCTCTGCTGTCTCCAAAAATTAATAGATGTGGTCTCTGGCATCATGCTGGCATAGCGTTCTTCTTTGCATTCTGAACAAAACTCTGACTTTTTGATCATTTCTGCTTCTGATTTTGAATTGTGAGAGTTTTGTCATGTTGTCCTCTCTGAAAGAGGCTTTTGTGTATGAAATTAAGTGAAATGTGTATAAGACGTGGATATTCCTGTTCCCATTGCAGGCCATTTTCGGCCAGAGTTTATTCGTCCACCACCTCCACTTCACATCTGTGAGGATGAACTGGCTTGGCTAAATCCCACTGAGCCTGACCACACAATTCAATGGGATAAATCAATGTGTGTTAAGAATAGCACTGGTGTGGAGATCAAGCGAATAATGGCTAAGGCCTTCAAAAGCCCCTTATCTTCTCCCCAGCAAACACAGGTGTGTATGTATTGTAAACATTTTCTTATCTTTAATCCAACAAGACTTTATTTTTGTTTTTTCACAAAGTGATAAATGAGCAATAAATGAATGCTGTCAACATGAGCTAGCAGCAAAAAGTTGCAAAGGTTTTCTGGATCACTGAAGCTTTGTTCTACCCTTTCCCCTTTTGGTAATTTGGCTCTGGTGGGATAAAAAGTCTAATGACTAAAAATGTTCCAACTCTTATTTGTGATCAGTTTTTCCCTGGGAGAAGTGGGTGAGAATGGGTGTCACTGTTTGCACCTAGCTCCTCTGTGTACTGCGCGGGTACTTACACACATTGTCACATTTGAGTTGGACTAACTCTCCTGAGAGAAAATGGAATTGTTAGGACTTCATGGAGGAGGAAGATGTGGCCCAGGGAAGGGGAACCAGCCCCCGCCACACACCTGGTTCTTGGTGGACTTGAGATTAAAAATAGACCCCACTGCCCAAATGCAAGGCGAGATGGCTGAATTTTATGCAGTTTGCATACTTTTGAGTTAGAACTTGTGGCGAGACACTGACCTCTCCAACCCAGAAATCCTCTTTTCAAAGTCAAGTCGTTCACCTCTAGTTCATTTTGCGTATTAGACCATTCTGAAACTCAGTCCACAGTAGGACATACAAGTACCTAGGGAAAAGAGCAGAGACTATTTAAAAGAGAAAGTGCTTATTTGGCAGAACAAATGTTTTTGAAGACACCTATGAGAATTAGTATGATCGTGACTTGAGCTGTAAAGTTTTGCAGGCTGATGGCTTGCAGCAGGTCAGCTATCCTGCCTCCCACTCTGGCCCCTTCTCAGGAATGTTTTCCACCGATGGGGCCAGGTAGTGCTGTTGTTTCTCAGGAGAACTATTTGGTGGTTATTTTTGGTTATAACAGATGACAGAAAAAACCACCTACAAAGGACTTAATGCATTGTTGTCACCAAACAATATTGTATCCAACCAGACGATAGTGAATCTGGTTTCATGTCCAGGAGGAAGAATCACTAGCATATTTATAAATTGTCTTGAATGTGTTTGCATTTTAGTGTCTTCAAAATTTAAATGTAAATTTGAAAATGCCAAGATGTCAGGAGTTGGAGAGAAGAAATGGATAAAGTTGGTTCAGTGTAGATAATTTTATAGCTTTTTATAAAAGTACTTGTTTTCGTATGCATAAAAAATGTTCTAATTTGACTCAAGCACTTATCTCTCTCAACATCTGGTTGTATTTAGCTCCTTGGTGAGTTGGAAAAAGACCCCAAACTTGTATATCATATTGGCCTCACTCCAGCCAAACTTCCTGACCTTGTGGAAAACAACCCTCTGGTCGCCATAGAAATGTTGCTAAAATTAATGCAGTCAAGCCAGATCACTGAGTATTTCTCCGTCCTGGTCAACATGGACATGTCCTTACATTCAATGGAAGTTGTAAATCGGTAAGTTTCCACACTCGATCAAAAGTATGGGATATATAGATCCTAAATGACCAGAAGGGGAAAACTGTAAGAGTTTATTTTATACTATTAGCCTAAAATAACCCATTAAAGAAATAATCTGAGCCTTAGTGTGATTACATGTGACCTTAGCACGTATTAGTAAGAACTCTGAAGGAAACTTAATTGCTGAGCTGTATTTCCCTATGCACAGTTGTATCTTCTTTACTCCTATACAAATATAGATCTTACGTCAGTTATTTGTTCTTAGCAGTGGACAGCTATAGCGTGGGAAAGCGGGCCTTCAAGCTGAGCGGATCCTAGGAATGCCGTCAGAGTCCCCTGTGCTCTTCTGCGGCCTTTCGTTGGCTCCGTCTCCTTGCCCTGCCATCACTGGCTTCGAATCCAGAAGATGTTCTTCCCAGTGTGCTCTGTACAGTGTTCTCACTTACCAGTTTCCTACAAACACAGTTCAGCTACATCATGCGCTAAGTGGGCTTGAGGGAGTAGGCCTGGGAGCCTGCTGTTGACCAAGATGCTTACGTGAGGGCGACCCCGGCCCAGGCTGCCCTGAGCGTCCTTACTGAGGCTTCCCATCATCCTGCGCTTGCTCTCAGGGGTCCTGTTTGGCTGATGAGTTCTATGGTCCTTCTGCTGTGTGGAGAAATCTGTTCTGAGTGCCAGCAAGCTAAGCTGCATGTAGAGCTCAGTTTTTGAACATATGTTTGTAAGCTGGGTCTTTTTTTTTTTTTAAGTTTGAAATTGAACTAAAGAATAGGCCGGGCATGGTGGCTCACACCTGAAATCCCAGCACTTTGGGAGGCAGAAGCAAGAGGATTGCCTGAGTCCAGGGGTTCGAGTTCAGTCTGGGCAACATGGTGAGACTTCATCTCTACAATAAATCAAAGAAGTTAGCTGGGCATGGTGATGTGCGCCTGTAGTCCCAGCTACTTGGAAGACTGAGGTGGAAGGATCACCCGAGCCCAGCAGGTCGAGGCTACAGTGGCAGTGAGTGTGCCACTGTACACTCTAGCCTGGGCGACAGTGACTCCAACTCAAAAAAAAAATTATGTCTTTTTAAGACCATCAACTTCTGGCAAAAAATAGTCTGACTGGAAGCTGGGGGCGGGGGGTGCAAGCATGTATTTGTGTAGGGAGGCGAGTGCGTTCTTTTTCGGAGTCGGGGAGGGAGGAAGCGTGAGGCTTCCAAATTAACTTTTGTCTTCAGACACTGGCAAAACTGGTTAGCTGCTTATTGAAAACATGCTGCTTCATTTCTGCCTCTCCTTATTCCAGTCTTTCCTCTTTCTCTTGAGTCAGGACTCAATCTTCTTTCAGTGGCCACATTCTGTCCAACTTTCTCTTGACCATGGAGTGCTCACTTCCCTTCACTACATTCTTGTAGCAGTTACTACCTTCACCAGACATTTGGCCCTTAGTCCACAGATAACTGCATCTTTTTATCTCTGTACCTTCCCAGCACAGTTTTGGAATTCTAAGGACAAGAAAGGTCCTGTTTGCCCCCAGCAACTGTCCAAGTGCACTGTCCTTGAGTGTAAAACACACTTAATGCTGACACAAAGGTCTCAAATGACTGCAGCAGCCCATGGCGGTGTGTCCTTGGAGCACTAAGTTCAGCGTTAGGAAAAGTGTTGAGGTCAGGTAAGCTTAGGAAAGGCGGTGTGTATTAGTCCTCTTTTGGAAATTCACTAGTTAACATAGCAAAGGCTTTGCAGTAACAAGCCCTGTTTAATTTGACCCAGTATTTCCCAGGCTTAACTAAATATGGAATTCCTACCTCCTACCTTTCCCCCCCCCCTAAAACAGTTCATGTGGCTAGGTGCAGTGGCTCACGCCTCACTTTGGGAGGCTAAGGTGAGAGGATCACTTGAGTCCAGGAGTTTAAGACAAGCCTAGGCAACGTAGCAAGACCCTGACTCCCTAAAAATAGAAACAAAAAGAAAAAAGATCCCATGTAGCCCTTTGGAAAATACTGGCCTTGACCTTTAAGACTCTCAGCTCTGACTCTGGGTTGCCACCATTCCTTTTGTTCCGTCCCAGCCAGGTCATTCCCACTTTGCTGAATATGCTGCGCTGATGCCAATTCAAGCCTTTACATGGATTCCTTCTTGTTACCAGGAATGCTTCTCTCCTTAGGTTTCAACTTAAGTCACTTGCCCATTGCCGGCTTTTCCCAGGTCTTGTCACGTCACTCTACTTACAGATCCCTCATTTTAGCATTTGGTTGTATCAGCTGTTTACATACTAAATTTAACCTTCCTCTCAGACACATCTCATAGCACTTATCTGCAGTGGGACTCTAGTAAATATATATACTTGAAAGCATATAATAATTGCCAAGTTTCTTAGGGCTTGGAAGATAATCGATTCAACCAAGAACACTTAAGGACATGGTTCAAAAATGTAGTTGCTTAATGAGTGATTGCAATGTGTAATGCTAAATAGAGATATTTCTTTAAAGTGTTATTTATGAGCAAGTGGGTATCGCCGAGTTTTAAATATACTTAGTCACATACGTTTAACACTGGAGAATTTGGCCATTATTTCACCAGATGACCAATGGACATTGTACATTTTATGGCTAACAATATTTTTCAATGTTAGCGAGTAAAATTAACAGTGCAAATTTTCTTTTATGAAACAGACTGACTACAGCTGTTGATCTACCTCCTGAATTTATTCACCTTTATATATCAAATTGCATCTCTACTTGTGAACAAATTAAGGATAAATATATGCAGGTAATAGGAATTTTTATAAATTTTGTAAGTACCTGCCAAGAAAATGAGCACACTAAAATTAGTTTTTCTTTTTCAGAATCGCTTGGTGCGTCTTGTATGTGTTTTCCTCCAATCCTTGATCCGTAACAAAATTATTAATGTACAGGACTTGTTTATAGAAGTGCAAGCATTCTGTATTGAATTCAGTCGGATACGAGAAGCTGCAGGTCTTTTCCGGTTGTTGAAGACATTGGATACTGGGGAGACACCTTCTGAGACCAAACTGTCCAAGTAATATTTCTTCAGCACCACCCCGTTCGCTCATTGTCCAGCTGTACTGTGATTTCATTTTACAACTCTTTAAGCCGAGTGGATTGCTTGGTCTAATGTATATAAACAACACTTTATCTACTTAAAGCCAAGTTTTGCTTTTCCCTGGATGACTTTTTCCTTGAGATGAATTTTTGGTAAGAACTTAGGAAAATGTATCTTTTAGGTGTCTTGCTGAATAACTATCATAGGAAGAACGGTTATCCCCCAATAAGTTGTTGCAAAAAGTAGATGAGATTTTTTTAAGTGCCAATGAGCAAAATACCCATTTCCGCTTAAAAGGGAAGCTACAGGCTTCTGATAAACCGGAATCCAGTTTTCTAAGGTCTCAATGTCAAAAGTAGTTAATGAGAGTAAATTAAGACATTAAGAATTTGTGATCCTATCTTTGAAAGTAGTTGTGTGTTTTTGAATTATCAAGTGGCACACAGAAGTTTGGTTCTTGAATCTACTTATGCATGTACCTCTTCTCAGAGCACAGTCTGGAACCAGGGATTTGCCTGTAACTTTATCTTGGTCGTGGGGACTTAAAAGACCACAGAATAAATGCATTTGGTGGGGGGCTCTTATAGACATAAGAACTCCTAGGAACCTTCTAGGCTGTAGTAGCTGGTATAGTTTTGTATTTCTCCTCCCAAGACCTTCTTCTGTTATTAGTCTAAGCCATTTTTTTGTTTTGTTGTAAGGAAAAACATCAGCCAGTGCTTTGGGAGGCAGTATCATACCAGTGGGATCAGCATCCTCGGTGCGGGTTTGAGAAGTACCAGCGCAAGGTGGCACTTATGTGGGCCCTTAACCTTTCATGTAACTTTGGACAACAGTGCCTTCCATTAAAGTTCTTTTTTAAAATCAACACTATTGCCTGTTTTTTTTTTTAAGAAATCATGAAAAAAATCATGAAAAGTACTAAGGCACTTCCAAAGCATATTTATAGGAGATAATCTGTTCAACAGGAATTGCCCTCTAATCCAACACTTAGCAAAAGCTACAGGAAATCAAGCCTAATGGTTGTTAAGATAAATAAGAGTTTCAATCTTAGAACTCTGGAGAAAGAACAGTACTAGACTTGTAACAAATTCAGTTATTCTTACAAAAGTAAGAGAGAAAATAATGACCTAAGCCTATGTATCAGAGGTATGCCTTCAGGTAACTAAAATGATAGCAACAATGATTTCTTTCAATGCCTAAAAGCGGACATTCAGGCAGAGTGGGTGGCACATGTCTGTAAGTCCCAGCTACCTGGGAGGCTGAGGAGGGAGGATAGCTTGAGCCCAAGAGTTTGAGACTGTGTTGAACCACGATTGTGCCACTGTACCCCAGCCTGGGCAACAGAGCCCCTGATTAAAAAAAAATAAATAAATAAAAGAGGGGAGCATCTCTGTTTTGCATGTTAGCATTGGGCAAAGAAAGTTCATTCCTGAAGTCCTTTTAGGCAGTTTCAACCACCCAGCCGTGGGTTCCAGGACCCACTGATTCTGTGTAATATAGCATTGAACTCAGCCAACAGCAGTAACTCATGCCTGAATGAAGCTTATATAACATGTGTTTTGTCCATAAGGTATATGATAGCCCTGCTGCACAGTAGACAGCACTTCGCTATGCTTGGGGGCCATTTTAAGCAATGAAATTGCCAACAGAGGCCAGGCGCAGTGGCTCACGCCTATAATCCTAGCACTTTGGGAGGCCGAGATGAGAGGATTGCCTGAGCTCACAGGTTCCAGACCAGCCTGGGCAACTTCGTGACACCTCATCTCTACAATAAATCAAAAATTAGCCCAACATGGTGGATCACCTGAGCCCAGCAGGTCGAAGCTGCAGTGGCTATGAGTGTGCCACTGCACTCCAGCCTGGGTGACAGAGTGAGACAAATAAATTGCCAACAGAGGTGCAAAAAAGGTGGTACTAAATAGACCCTGAGAAGGGCACTTGCTTGCAGCCTGAGAGTTGAAGCAAGGTAGAGCATCCCTCCTTCAGCCTCTGTTAGGAACATGTGTGTTGGCGACAAGGCTTATTTCCTGCTGTCCACTTGTCTGAAAATGACCACAGAAGTGCTATACCTGATAATTTGGGGGTCACAAATATATTTTCGTGAGGCAGATTCTCAAATATGGACTCCATAAATGAGGAGGATCAAAATCAAGGAACTGGTGTTTACTTGAAAAAGGAAGGATTGTTTCAAATTTATTTCAAACAAATAGCTTAACAAAGAAGTGGCTGTATTTAGAGAACATTTTATTAAAAAAAAAAAAATGAAGCCGTGCACAATGGCTCAAGCCTGTAATCCCAACACTTTGGGAGGTCGGGGCAACTTGCCTGAGTCCATGGGTTCCAGACCAGCCTGGACAACTTGGTGAGACCTTGTCTCTACAATAAACCAAAAAATTAGCTAGGCGTGGTGGAGCGTGCCTGTAGTTCCAGCTACTTGGAAGGCTGAGGTGGAAGGATCACCTGAGCCCAGCAGGTTGAGGCTGCAGTGGCCATGAGTGTGCCACTGCACTCCAGCCTGGGTGACAGAGTGAGATTCTGACTCAAAAAAACCCAAAAACCAAAAAACAAATGGAGTCAAGATTACATTTACAATACCAACAAAAGACTCTTGAAAAAAATTTACCTAAAGTAAAAAGAAACGATAATCTCAGGACTCAATAACTACAGTCAGCTTTTAAGTGTAATCAAACAAGTTTAATTTAACTGTCTGTCATGTTAAACAAAACACCTTCAATTCTTGGATTCTCTGTTTCCATTTTCTAGTTTTAGTATTTTCAAAACACCTGTTTAAAACAAAAAAAAAGTAACATCTTAGAGTAGAAAGAAAAGTTATTTCAAAAGATAGTTTGGGATCCTAAAATATAACCTTCAAACAATTCTAGCAGTGTTTACTATATTCATTTAAAAACTACAGGAATGCTGCCAAATCTTATTCTTGCAGAGTTACATATACACTTACACCTTAAGTAGCACACTGAATGATTCATCTTCCGGTGGAAAATAATGGCTCGTATGTCTATTTTAAATAGCATTCTAAGTGATCTCTCTCTAAGATAATCCTAAATTCCAATGAGCAATACATACATAAGGACTTAATGTCAGCCTTCACTGAGCAAATAAACCTTAACGTGCTCAGGGGGGACTGGGTGACACCGGGGATTCCAGGGCACAGGGACACAGGCCTGTCCCTGAAGGTCTCTTGTTTTTCGCGATTCTACTAGTCCTTGACTGGGAAAGTGCGTCTCGAGGCACACAGAGAAGCGCCGGCTCTCAGGCAAGGGGCAACGCAAGGCCGCTGGGCTCCCCGGGAGGCTTCTCTTCGCCACGCCAGGCCCGCGCGCAGCCCAGCCCCGAGGCTGCTGAGGTCAGACAGCGGTTCGCTTCAGGAGGTCTTGTCATCGCGTGCCCCGGAGAGCAGCTGCGAGGGAGACGCTGCAATTCGGCCTTTCACGGTCATCACTCCTCAGCAGCCGCCGGGGTCCCCTCAGGAAGGGCCCGTGCGCGGAACCCCCAAAAGACAGCCCGGAGGAAATGATCACCTGCCCACCGCTCCCTGGCCCTTGGCGGTTTCCTGCCGGGAAGCCCAGAAGGCCGATCCAAACACGGGGAGGAGCGAAGCAGCGAAGCAGCGGGCCGGGGCGCGGGCGGCTGTGGCGCGGCTGCCGCGTGAGAACACGTGGCCCCGTGACGATGACGAACAGCAAAGTGACTCCTGTGATAAAGAACACAGCTGGGCTCAATCTCTGACTTGCTGTGCTCCTCGCTTACACACCCCCATCACCCAGGCAACCTCAAAGCTTCTGCAAAATTGCTGGTAGTATTTGTGCTTTCTTTATCACGTTGACTGCCATCTATATACATATAAAACTTCTATCAAAGAAAGCTCTTCAAGGCAATGAAGCATTTTCTTCTTTTGCTCATTTATTTTTGCTACTAAAGACTCACATTTCTAGAGAATAAGACTCTACTTATTCCAACCTCTTCAATCAATTTATCATTCAGCGTCAAACTTTTGAATTAAGGAAAGCTATATTTGACAGCTGATTAAGAAATCCAATTTCTGTGACTATCCAAAGCAATTGTGTCACAGTATTCTTCTGAACAGTTGGCTTTATTGGCTACTGGAAGAATTATTAGTTAAAACATTCTTTTCTAGTATTTCTTAAAGGACAAAGAGCAAACAATCTAACTGGTATGGAATCAGGATGTATTTGCCTAGTCACGCTGAACAACAGAACATAGAGTCAAAGACAATGGCCTCCTAGACAGCCAAGGTGGAGGCCGTCTGCTAAAACAAAACGAGTGCACGAAGCAGGACTAATGTTTTACCTCAGCAGCTCCTCTTGCTGAATCTGGCTGTAGAGTTTATTTCAGGAAAACCAAATATTTCACAATGAGTCGTTAGAATCAAAGCATGACTAGTAAACAGCTTGAGAAACTAAGCTAAATAAATCCACCTATTCTAGACGTGGCTATAAGGATAAATCCTTTATATTTTCTTGCATCATATTTTTCTCAATAAACACTTATTTTTACCCACAAAATATATACAGAGGCACCAGAAGCAAGAGAGGATTACGATTCCACACTCTAAAAAATAACTGCCTCGTACTCCTTGACTTCTGACTCCAAGAAGCGAGAAAGGGCGTGCATGTGAGTGAATCACCGGGTAACGCTTCAAGAGCGGTCTCCCAAGCTCTGCATCAGTCCGCTCCTCTGACCTACAAGTGAGAACAGCAAATGAGTTTATAAAAGGAGACAAAAGGAGACACGGTTGAGCAAGATCATGGTATTAAATGTGCTTTAAAACGAATCCGGAAAACTGATGACTTTGTACCAACAACAAAAATCAAAATTCTCCATCTATCGCCCTTGTAATTATAAAGAATACAGAAACCAATGTGACATACTGATTAAAACACACACACACACAGTAGGCCCACTCATTTTCCTGAACAAGGCAATAAAGAACTGAATGTT